TAATTCCATTTAATTAACATATTAGACAAATGTCTATTTTTATATATAAATATTGTTTTTCGTCTTCTCTTGTTAAAAAAAGTCTACAAAATTTTAGCAGAATTGATATCTTTAAAGAAAGTTCATGAAGTTAATATTATCATTTTAATTGTTTAACAATTGATTGCTGATGAGACCTAACGATTTTGAAAACGCGATTTGGGTTTGTCAATTTCAACAGATTTCTTTACCAAACACTTTATGTACTTCAAAACTCTTCACCATCGTTACAAATTCTTACATGATGCGTTCCTATGGCCTGAAGTGTTGGATATTTATAATGGGATTGAGCGGTTACATTCATTGTCAAATTGCTCATACCGTGATAGCCATTTCTTAACGATATTATTTCGTAATTTTTGGTAAAAATCCTTGCCATCAAAATTGCCAACTCATTTGCTTCCGAACCGCTATTAACGAAGTAAACAACCTATCAAAGGAAACCATTTTTAATTTATATTGATATCAACAGTAATTCAGCATATTTAAGGATTGGAGCACTCAAGCACGCCCACATGCAAGAAAATTAGGTAAGTGGAATAAAGCCGTAATTTATTTATTTTCAGAAACCTCTGGGTGTATTATAAAGAAGAATATTTTCTAATCAAGAAATCTAAAAATGAAAAGCGAGTATGGGACACCTGAAGAGCAGAAGTCCAGATTTGTTATTTTTAATATACAACAATCTACTGGGTACATTTTTGAGAAATAAAAGAATCAATTATTGATCCTATTCAATAAAATCATCATCAACAGGTAAACCTTTCTCCATCATAACCCAGCCTTATGTTAAGCAATTCAGAAAATTCATTTAGAGAAATATTTGCCACAAGATACTAACTGCATTCCTCCCTCTTCCAGGGGAAAAGTTTCCTACTCTCTCTATCGCAACCTTCTCCCCTCCCAATTCACTCTCATACCCATGAGGGTATCAGGTAAACCTTTCTCCGTTGTAACCCAACCCTATAATTAGCAATTCAGAAAATTCATTTAGGGGACTATCATGCCACAAGATACTAACTCCACTCCTCCATCCTCCGGGGGAAGAGTTTCCCACACCCTCTACCGCAACCCTCCCCCCTCCCGATTCCCTCTCGTACCAATCTACATAAAAACCCAACAATAATATTGTCTCTTCTAATTTTTTTGCACTTAGTCGCAGCGTTACAGAACCATTCGTAAATATGCTACGCTATCGTTCACATGAATTGCCGCCTCTCGTTGGTCACAATTTACTCAAAAGACGGATTGATAGAATTGATAGGTAGGTATAATTTGCTTTGTCTTAATAGGTTATTACGTTTTTGTTTGATTACTAATAAATAATAATAAATAAGGATAGAAAATACAACAAATGGCGTGGTGAGCGCCATCTGTAGTACGATGCTACATTTTAGGATTACATATGCT